ACCTTCGCCTGCGTCGACTGCTACAGGCCGAAATGGACCGCAAGGAGGCCCTGTCTCGCCAACTCAGTGGCAGCGAGTCCAGTCTGGAGATGGAAGACGAGAGGTAGGCATTTTACCCATGACACTGTGCGGACGTACTGGCGGTCGGAGAATCACACAGGATGGCGAAAGTTGAGAAAGATTGATAATCATTCACAAACCAGCATTAACGCATGTACATACGCTGAAATAATCATGAACCACCTTAGGGGAATATGTTACTTAAAAGAACGGCAGCAAGTAATAATTGTTTGTTTAGAAAAATATAATTTACTACAGCATACTCAAGTCCCACAGACTTCAAAAAATAGCTATAAATCAGACCAATAAATGTAAATATAATCATCAGGTAAAATAATAACCACACCATTTTCCGCAGATCAAAAGGACTTTTCTTTGGTCCGCCTTCTTTATGCATATTTGAGGTAATGGATTACAATGATTTTTAGATCGTCCTTCAAATTCCGGCAAACCTTCGACCATTTTCAGTGTTTTCGAGTGTCCTTCTCCGTAGATCTAGATTATGTTAGACGTATAAATTAGTACCTTTAAAATAAGCTATATTGTCAATAGTGGAGAATATGCGAGTTACCGGAAGCAGTTCAGAAGAAGAGGATGTGACCACTGTTCCAGTGATCGAATCCTCTTCTTCTGAATAAGCTATAGCTTAAAAACATTTACCAAAAACAAGACCTTTTGGGTATTAGTTCTTACGAGGATGGCCATATGGTTCATGTTTAAAAAAATCCCGAAACTTTGCTGCCGAAGGTTGCGGAAAATCGATACCGTATTTTCCGGACTATAGGGCGCACGTAAAAACTTTCAATTTTCTTAAAAAAATACAGTGTGTCTTATGTATCGATTAACTCTGGTTACTGGTCTCGAAGCGATTTGTATAAGAAAAACGCTCGAAACCAAACCATTCATTGACTGTGCGCCCTATAGTACAGAAAATACGGTAATCACTCACAAGCTGACATTAACGCATGTACGAAATCGTCGAAGTAGCCATGAACAACCCTAGGTGAATTTGAGATGTATGAAGTACTGTTTGTTTGTTTAGGAAAATTAAATTTTGGAAGAAATACTCAGTTCCGTGGATGTGCAGATAGCTATAAATTTGACCGATGCATTCAAATACAATCGTCAGGTGAAATCCTATCCATACCATTTTGCTGATACGGTGGTCGCCGTTGACCACGTAATTTTCCTTGATTTGTATAAGTTTGGTCATTACTCCAATACCAGTGTGAATGTATTTAGGAA